TCGACTGGATATATATGTGCACAGATATATATATATATATATATATATATATATATGCATACTTACTATTATTTTCATGAATAGGATCTTTAGAAAATCCCGGATATTATATGCAATAATCTCTTCCAAGATCGGAAAGATTGACCAGTATATTAAGCATTATGTATGATGTACGATGTAGATCACATATAATTTTTGAAAATTTGTGAGGAAATCTACACAATATCTATATATTAACTGAGCTACTTTACTATGATAAAAAAAGAGAAAGAAGTCGCTTCGCTTAAATATTTTCTTAGCATTATCGATCGTTCTCTATGAATTGACTATCACACTTGTAAGAAACCCGATTTTTCGATGTCGATAACAGTGTCCTCATTTATTCCTATCTTCCACCATGAAAATAAAAAAACTTTATCAGCACTTTAATGATAGACGAGATTGTGCGAAGATGGTACTTTTCTTTAATGCAAATTTCACAAAATGTTTTCGGGCAACCAAGCGAGTTTCAGGTCACCGAATACGCCTTCATCTTGCGTGAAAAACGGGTCAAGAAGGACTCAGATCAAAGGACACGAGCACAAAGCTAATATCTCAAATGTATATCACGCGCGTTGCTCATGCCTCCGGCGAACAGTAACGTTTCTAGGAAATCGCGTATGGAAATTTCATCGTCACGAAACGCGAACAATATTCTCAGACATCCCTGTAACCGGAACAAGAGCCTTCAACCATGCTGAAATGTGCGCATCTAGTCTTACATTTATGTATAATTAATTATAAATTTCATAAATTCATAATCACGCACCGTTGAGAAACGATCATAGTAGATAACCATATAAATTCTTGAACAATTAATCAATGGTAATTAGTGCTTTCGCTGTATAGTTCCAAACTTTGACACCCGATATTTCGATTTGAAATTCATGGTAATTAGGAGGATCTAGAAGAGATTCTATTGCCGAAATTTAGTTACGAGTTATTGATTTATCAAAAAAGACACTTTAAAAATCAAATTTTCTATTCCAAAATATATCCTCACTCATATCAATTTAAGGAACAAAAAAGAATTTTTTTTTAAATAAAAAAATTGTAATAAATTCTTACAATTTTTAATTTATTTCGCGCTCTTTCGACATATATGTCGATTTCTTTTTCGTACTTTTTCTATAGTTTATGTTGGAAGTTGGCACAATTCCAAACATCAGCTTTCACATTTAAACTTTTTATATTTAGTGTTATCCTTTTTACAAATTTCGTAACGTTTTAGCTTTTTAAAGTAATCATTTTCTTTACTTTTATTCGGGTGGAATAATGACAAGACCATCAACGCGCGTGATCGTTAATGGCGTAGCTTGTCAACAAAGGTCGCCGACCGGACGACTTCCTTGTAAGCATCTTCTAACGAATTCACTCCGACGGTCATGCCACACCACCGAAGCCAGCTATAAGCGGGGAGTCTGAAAAATAGGCGTTAAATCAAAGCAGTCGTTACGAGGTCGAACGAGGTTTAACGGTTGCCCGCTCAAAGCCCCGGCGCCGCGCCGGAGGGATTCTCGTTAAGAGGCTTTCCGCTGGACTTTAACCACCCTCGCGCCACGATCGTCCTTACACAAACATTTGTACGCGTGGGATATAGATTTTTTTTACTCGATATCTTCTTTGCGGAAACAAAATAAATGACGACCTTGCGGGAATCCGCGTGGCATGGACGGATACCCATCTTCCTGTATCCAATTTTCCTCTAACCATCGGGAAGAATAAAATTACTCCGACAAAAGATAACGCGTCCAATGTAACGTAGCCACAAGCGCGTCACGCATGACCGGCCATATTCCGTAAATTTTCATGGATGAAAAGTGATGCATATGGTGGAAAGTATTTTTTAGCCATGTCAGTCTTCAAGCATCTTCAACATATTGAAAGGCTTGCATGTCAGGATCGATAGACATGGGTACGAAATATATATTATATTATAATATTTTTACCCTTAAATAATATAAAAATAAATTTATTGTATACTATATTGTATATATTTTTACAAAATACGATTCTATATATTTACGATTACATTGCTTTAAAAATTGCGACATTATAAACAATTTTATTAGAGATTTACTTATGTGCTACTGATATGTGTGAGAATTATTATCATTTAATGAAATTTTATGATTAAATGCTGCATTACAGTTGAAAAACTAGAAAGATATAAAACTAAGAGTTTGATTCATATTTATGCGCAGACGAGCTCATATTATAACGAAGTTCGACCTCGTAAAAGCCAACGTGATTTAATGCCAATTTCTCGGCGCATCTAACGGCGGTTACCATCGGATAGCCGATGACCTCCGGCACCGAAAACTCGGCCGGCTTTAGCACCCGTGTGATAAGAGACTAGGCTCGTTACGTTTCACGCAAAATTGCGTGTATGTGATAGATATGTTGTTATTGCCGTCAATCACTTAACAGAAATAATATTCGTGAAATACATATTTCGGTATAATGCTAATGTCATTGATTAACTGTGACCTGCATGAAAGAAAGACTATAATTATACTAATTTGAAATTTAACGGGAGAACTAAAATACAATAACACAGTCACAAGAGAAATTATGTCATTATTACATATTAACGAAAATTGCTCAAATGAACATTTGCAATTGTTTCCTTTCAGGCAAATATCAAGTTGATTATATAAATATTATGTTAATGTAACCGTAAATTTTATCCATGGTTATAATTATTGAATTAATTATTTCTCGAATTAATGATATAATTCATTCAAATACCCCAATGGTACTTGTTTAAATCAAATTAATTCTTTCTATGAGAATAGAGCTTTTTTCCTAGCGTATATTTTGACATTTATTCAGTTACGTCATGATTATAATATTACAGTTTCTTATTATTTCTTTACTTATAAGTTTTATGTTTGCAAATTCGCGTACTTAAAAATAACTGAAAAGTTTGATTGGCTATAATATAATTAATAATTAATTTGTTTCAGAATATCCCGCGGCAGTAACGGCGGAAACAGTCGATATAAATGTTAACATAAACTCGTTGGACGGCACAACGGGGAGACCGTTGGATGTCGATCTACCACCAACTTTGCCGATGACCTTCGGTACGGAAAATACAACATCAGTTTCGGCGCAATCAGGATCCACAGCTCTGATGCCCTGCGTTGTCCACAATTTAGGAGAGGGCACGGTAAGGCTTAATTACCAGACATGTTTAACCCATTGATTAATGTGTGACAATTTGATGTACAAATAAGCAGTTATACATTCCATTATTGATTATTCTATAAATGCCGATCAAATAAAAAATTTGTCATTTTCCGAAAGCAATATAAATAAACAAAGAAATTTCTATTTTTTCTAGAAGAGCAAATACACAAAATGTATATGTGTGTATATTTAATCTAAAAATTTAATTGTTAAAACTTTATATGGATTTATTACTGCGATCTAAATATATTTTTGTTGCAATGAGAAAAAGAGAATTTATTTAAAGTATTGTTAATCGTTACAAGCGTCAATCGATGTGTTAATAGTTTTCAGATTGATAGAGAATAACCATATGATTACCAATATTCTATAATAAGCACAAACGAGCTTTCTCTATAACTAGCATTGCGAAATTCATATTATACCTATTAGTTACATTCAATTTTATAGTAATCAGTATAATCATATGATAGAGAAAATTAAATTCTCCTTTAAAACATGAATAATACGAATATATGACACAAAAAGGATCACAAAAGTCACATCATCAAAAGTTTTCGATGAAAATATTATAAATTAATATAAATTAATAATATTTAATTTAATATATACCGCGTGTAAGACTGCATACGGTAATAAGTACAGTAATAAAAAGTTGGCACAATGACAGGGTAAATTTTAGTACAATCTAAGAATTCTTTACTTTCTGCGTGAGTTACTGATTATCTGCTTAAAACATAAAACGTTAGATGATCGTAAATTGTTGTTTATCTTTTTTCATCTCGTGGAAATGTCAGTAAAATGCACGTCATGATAATAAATCGATGTTTTACTCACGAACAAATATTGCTCAATCCTCGACGCGATGCTAGATTGACATTATCGTGTATATCGTAGATCTTATCGTAATTTTTATCATTTGGAATATTTTTTTAAACGCGGCTGAAACCGCATATAATTAATGAAAGAGTATAAGTATAATATCAATAATATATATCAAAATTTTGATAAATTCCTTGAACAAGGAAAATTAATCAATAGGTTCCTTCAACGCCATTGCACGTTCTTTTTTTATTTGACCCCGAGAGACAAAACAGCGTTACGCTTATTTGCACCTCAATTAGGTATGCAGGACGAACCGGAGCAACGTTCTTGCAATTGTACAAAGTAAAAGCATTAATGTCATCTAATTTCGACGCGACAAGGTAAAAGAGAGGAGATAAACAAGATTTTGTCGGTCTAAAGAATTTTCAACTTCAACGCTTCTTTTCACGAATCTTGGTAATACGATGACAACTTTCTTCAGAATCGATGATACGAGCAAGCAACTTTGGATAAATAAAAGATACGCGTGCGATGGATAATAGCTCCGTATAAAAATAATTTACGAAAAATTAAACAACTCCGCCAAGATGAGATGTGTATAATTTATGACGTTTGCCAACTTTTGCTAATGCCAAGGGGAAATAATATATTGTTTATTCTTTTATTTTTTCACATTATTCTTTTTTATACTCATTATTCTTTTCATATTTATTTTTCTCAGATACTTTTTACTTAATCATTTATCTGACACATATTGTTTAATATTTTTCACAGTCATCTTTCCATTATGGTGCAGCTTTTTCTGTAAATCATAAAAATGCATAAAAATATTATGGTTATCTTATAAAGCAATAGAAAAATAAAGTGACGTTACAATATAAAATTATAATAATATAAAAGTGATGATAATATTAAATTATATAATATCCGTAATAATAATAAATACTTAATGTATCACATTAATTACATTTTTTGTAAAATGTGTTTTAATATTATAATATTTCATCTTTTTCTCTCCCTCTATATCTAACTACCTAAAGGGATTTTAACCGATTTTAAATGAAATTTATATTTCTTTGTAATATAACACATTTATATACATTTTTTTAAAACACCATTTAATTATATTTAATATTGAACAAATCGCAATTTAAAATACTTCATATATAAATATTTTATATCGTACAATTTTTTTGGCACACGTTAGACTAGTAACACGTGTATCTTTGTATCTAAATTGAATCACTTATTTGGAAACTTATGTAAGTCTAATTTTAAAATATTATAAATTTCAATAATATGTAAATATAAACCGATGTGGTGTGTAGATCATAGCTGGATTCTTGATGCTAAAGTTACAGCACTTTGAATGTGGACTCGATATAACTTTCCGGATATCGATAAACTATTAAGTAATACAAATGTCTCTATAATGAGATCGTGTAGAAAATAATAAAGAACCCAACATACACATATATACATATATACACAAACAGATTAACTCAGACTAACTCAGAGAAACAGACGCAAAGCATCCTTTTCGTCGCATAAAATTCTGCGGTATAATCCCATTCTAGAAGAATGTAATTCGCGGCAAGAGAATTAATGCCGATTACAAGTTTAAAGCGCCGTTTAATTAATCCGATGTTTTCGCAACTGCTTCACGGTTTCTTACGCGGCCCGGCAACTTTACAATGTAGCAGACGCGCGAAACTCTTCTGGCGGTTCGCAGTTAACGTTGTTATAAAGTTTGTTTTCTTTGTTTGCACAATAACTTTGTGTGCGCGCATATCAACGCGAGGTTTTTCCCACGAAGGGTAGCAACGCCACAGATTTACGTGTCGCTGTCGACGATACTATCCAGAATAGAAAAATTCTCGTACGCTAAGAATGTATGCAAATAATGAGGAAGGGTCTGTGAAAACATCAAAGGTACCGTTGTCATTAAAACAGACGAATGCAACAACGTAACCTGTCATAACTTAAATGCAACTTGCATTAGTGTGTTTGCAACAACGTTACACTGATTTAACATGTGACGCAAACATGGAGCAATACAATTTTAATATTATAATATTTCATCTTTTTCTCTCCCTCTATATCTAACTACCTAAAGGGATTTTAACCGATTTTAAATGAAATTTATATTTCTTTGTAATATAACACATTTATATACATTTTTTTAAAACACCATTTAATTATATTTAATATTGAACAAATCGCAATTTAAAATACTTCATATATAAATATTTTATATCGTACAATTTTTTTGGCACACGTTAGACTAGTAACACGTGTATCTTTGTATCTAAATTGAATCACTTATTTGGAAACTTATGTAAGTCTAATTTTAAAATATTATAAATTTCAATAATATGTAAATATAAACCGATGTGGTGTGTAGATCATAGCTGGATTCTTGATGCTAAAGTTACAGCACTTTGAATGTGGACTCGATATAACTTTCCGGATATCGATAAACTATTAAGTAATACAAATGTCTCTATAATGAGATCGTGTAGAAAATAATAAAGAACCCAACATACACATATATACATATATACACAAACAGATTAACTCAGACTAACTCAGAGAAACAGACGCAAAGCATCCTTTTCGTCGCATAAAATTCTGCGGTATAATCCCATTCTAGAAGAATGTAATTCGCGGCAAGAGAATTAATGCCGATTACAAGTTTAAAGCGCCGTTTAATTAATCCGATGTTTTCGCAACTGCTTCACGGTTTCTTACGCGGCCCGGCAACTTTACAATGTAGCAGACGCGCGAAACTCTTCTGGCGGTTCGCAGTTAACGTTGTTATAAAGTTTGTTTTCTTTGTTTGCACAATAACTTTGTGTGCGCGCATATCAACGCGAGGTTTTTCCCACGAAGGGTAGCAACGCCACAGATTTACGTGTCGCTGTCGACGATGCTATCCAGAATAGAAAAATTCTCGTACGCTAAGAATGTATGCAAATAATGAGGAAGGGTCTGTGAAAACATCAAAGGTACCGTTGTCATTAAAACAGACGAATGCAACAACGTAACCTGTCATAACTTAAATGCAACTTGCATTAGTGTGTTTGCAACAACGTTACACTGATTTAACATGTGACGCAAACATGGAGCAATACAATCAAATAGAGTTTAATGAACTGTTTAATGAACCTATTGCTTGTTCAACTTCATTCACCACCACATATATGTATATCAAAGTTGGATAACGTGACGAGAGTATTAATTATTAACTACGTTTGAAATAGGTATAATAATCGGTTTATTCGCTGATTCGTGCGAAAATGATGACAAAAAAGTTTATAATATAATATATAAAACTTATTTAAAAAACGTCGGTTTACAAAATTTTATTTTACAATTGCTTACAGATTTTTTTTATGTTTGTGTGATTTATCGTATTAAAAAATACATGTTTCCAATTTAAAATAACGTAATTTAATAAATATATTTTTGAAGTTGTGAATTTCTAATATTTATAAATTCACAACTTTAAAAATATTTAAGATAACAATCTTTTTACAGTATTACAGACTTAATAAGATTCTTGATTTTCTAGAAGAAAACTTTAAAAAATAGCGTCGCGCGAAAGAATGCAATCCACTTTCGCGTACGACGTTTGACCATTTCTAGAATTTCAAGAATTTAATTAATTAATTTACAGTACCGTCGCGGTCGGATCTTATTAGAAATAGTTCCTTTTGCTTCTTAGAAGAAGATGTAGTTACGGCTAAGGCGCAAATTGCCGCACGACCGAAATTCCAAACTGCAATATTGCATTCACGCTATGATAAATTTAAAACGCTATTTTAATTAATTTAATATTTGTGACGCATTGGTTACCCCATTATTTATACGCGCCAAACGTAAGTGATGGTATGCGACGCTGTCACGAGTAACATGAAAAATTGCGCATAGAACATTTTTCTTCTTTATCTTTGCTGTTTTAATTCGAGAAAATGTCGGAGTAAAGTTCTCTGATGCTCACACGCGCCAGAAGAAGTTATCAAAGAAAAATACATTGGAATGTCTCATAAGTAAAGACAAGATATTAGACAATATCAGAGTTGTGGAAAAAATTTTCGAGATGGGGAAGGCAAATCCATTTTGTGAAGCGCGTTAATTACAAAAATTAAATTT